CGTTCCGGCGGTGTCTCAGCCCCTCTGAGGGCTGCGGCACTGCACTGCTGTGGGAATAGAGCTTTCACAACATACGGCACCTTTTTTTTTTTAATCATTTGTGATGTTTGGGGGGTGTGCTCATAGCCGGTGAACAATTGCACAGCAGGCAAATGGCACAAAACTCTTTTTTCTGGTGTTTCTGTTCCAGCGTGCCCGGGGAAAGCAGTTTTCTGGGATTCCCATAAAGGCGGCCTCCTTAGGGCTGGCAGCTTCAGCGGGGCACGCTGGTACGGGAACAGTGGGGCCATCCTCCTCCACGCTGTAGTAGGCAGCTGTCGTGCTGTTTCTTTTAGCTGGTGCGCTGCTTGAATAACGTTTCCAGCACTCCTTCCGAGCAGCCCTTTCTGTTTGCGTGCGTTCGCGAAAAAGCACATCTCACACCGTGTCTGACATACTAAACGTGTCAATGCCTGAGGACATGCTCAGCAGGGCTTCGCAGAATTCAAGATCATTGCAGCTAAGTATTTCCCCTGCATAATACAGCTGTTTCAGGAGGTGGTGTGGTGCTGTAGTGTTGATGCATATATGCAGTGCTACAATTGAAGTTTTCATAACGCTTGACTTAAATCATTCAGTCACTAATTATTTTGTGGTATCAAGAAATAGTATTCTTCACAGAAGATGCCTGCCTGCCAGATTGAAACGGGTTAAACTGGTGACATCAGTCAAGTGCCAAAACTTAGAATGTAAAACTTAGGCATTTCAGCTATTGAAAATAGTTGAAGCTGTATTTTTAGTCTTCCTGAATGCTTAATCTTCTGTATGTTTGGGATTTTTTAGTGGTGGTGGTAGGGCTTGGGGTTTTTTGTTCGTTTTGGGTTTTTTAGGAGCTAGGCAAAAAAGGCATTTGCTTAAGATAGCTAATATTGTATTGAAATACTAATTTTGGTCAGATAGGTTATGTTGCAGTACCAGCTGACAGGTCGTGCTTAACTGATGTGAGCTGCAGCTCTGAAAACTAAAGCTTGCATAAACTTTCCACACCTTCACTAGAAATTAGGAATGCATGTGTTCAGAAAATCTGCACAAGGAAAACAAAACCTAAATCACAGGATAACTATTAGTTGCATATGTACCACATTCTCTTCTTAAAAAAAAAAAAAAAAAAAAAGTTCTGGTAATACCATTTGCATGGATACAGGATCCTGGTTTCTGTTAGGTGAATTGAGATTAGATTTTATATCTCAGTATATTTTGCTTCTCTAAGGCAGAATGTTCTAACCTGTGAAAAAGGGAAAAATCAGAGAAAAAAGGAGATTCAGGAAAAACATTCTGTGTGTTTTTGAGGCCTTAGTATGGAAATGCCGAGTGTCCTGTATGTTTGAGTTTATTTGAGTATCATACTGAAGCTCAAAACCATCTGCTTAAAAATAGGTGTCTAGAACTATTCTTGAAACCTTATACACTTTTGTGCAGTATTCTTTTTTATAAACTGTTGGAGGTGCAATTCAAGATCTAGCATTTTCAATGTTATAATTTTAAATCGGAAGCTCTAGCTGCTCCAATTGTTGCATGTCACCTTTAATATTATCTTCTAACTTTCTAATCTTCTTTGCAGTAAATATTTAATGATTATACTTCTGTGTTTTAAAAAGTAAGCAACAGGTATTTCACAGAAAGTATAGGGCGGAAATCGTCTAGACATCTCAGATATTGTAATTGTAATTCTGTAGTCCTAGGGATTTAAGGGGCCTCGCATTTTCAGCGAGAGTCACTCGGCAGTATCAGATTAAACTTGCCATAGCTCAGGGTCCAGCCCCATGTGTTTGGAGTTCTTCTGCATCAACTGTCAAGTATGATAGTGATTATTAAATAACCCAGCATCTGATTTATACACTGGTTTGTGCTTTCTTTCTCTCCCACTCTCAGTCATTCACTAAAAGCAATAATGTTGTTATACAGAAAATATCCGTGAAAACAATCTATTAATTTCTCCTCTGATTTTACAATAATTTTGGAACTTTTGATGATGTGTGTGTATTTGTTTAGTCAGTTAGTTCTTTCTAATTACTGGTAAGTTTAAAAGGAAAAATTGTCAACATACATAAAAATACTTCTAGTCACTGTTTTTTTCAAAATCAGCGTTTGCATTCTGTTCCTGGGGGACCAACTAGAACAAAAGTAATCCACTGCAGTCATGAGCCGCTTGTCAGATACCAGCTTCAGGGAGTCTGTCTTTGGTCAGCTTTGTGCATTACAGAAAGGTGTTGCTGCGTGGAAGGAAAAATATGGGAAGGCTTTGTTTCACCATTCTCCCTGTTGAAAATATTTATAGTTTTTATTTCTTCCTTGCAGAGATTCTGAAGGACCTGGATGATTACTATGAAAAATTTAAACGAGAGACAGATGCTGTGCAGAAGAGAAGAATGTTGCACTGCATACAGAGAGCCTTGATTCGGAGTCAGGAACTGGGGGACGAGAAGATTCAAATTGTCAGTCAGATGGTGGAGCTCGTTGAGAACAGAACGAGGCAAGTGGACAGCCATGTGGAACTGTTTGAGACTTGTCAAGAGACTAATGATACCACTGGAAACAGCGGGAAAGCCAGCCAAGATAAGTCAAAGAATGAGACAATCGCACAAGCTGAAAAGCCCAACAATAAGAGGTCGAGGAGGCAAAGGAATAACGAAAATCGAGAAAACGCTTCAAATAATCATGATCATGATGACATCACCTCAGGAACTCCAAAGGAGAAGAAAGCAAAAACGTCCAAGAAGAAGAAACGATCCAAGGCTAAAGCAGAGAGGGAAGCGTCTCCCCCAGACCTTCCTATTGACCCTAATGAGCCAACATACTGCTTGTGCAACCAAGTCTCCTATGGAGAAATGATAGGATGCGATAACGATGAGTGCCCCATTGAGTGGTTTCACTTTTCCTGCGTGGGACTCAATCATAAACCAAAGGGCAAATGGTACTGCCCCAAATGTAGAGGAGAAAATGAGAAAACTATGGACAAGGCATTGGAGAAGTCTAAAAAAGAAAGGGCCTACAATAGGTAGTTTGTGGACATTTTGTAGCGAAGAAGAATAAAACCACCAAACCAGTGTATTTATTGTCAGTGTCACCTTTGTTGAGGTGAAAAGGATTGTAAAATGTATATTTTTAAAGGAGGTTTAAAACTGAACCATTCCTGTTATAGGGACGGCAATAAGCAATTTTGTTTTTCATTTGGTAAACTGTAACAAGAATGTGGTCTGTGGACCAATGTATTCCAAAAGTAAAGTTATAAGAGTTTAAACCGAATATTTGGGTGGGTATTAAAAGATAAATTAATACTTTTTTTTTTTTCTTCAGTGCTGGTAGCACTCTACCCATTAAAATTTTGGTGACAAATATCTCTGAAAATGTAATCTTGTTTTCTTTCTTGAAGAATGTTATTTACCTTTTGAGCAAAATTGTTAAATAGTTTAGCCATTTGGTTGTATCTGAATAAAGCTGCAATACATTACAAATGTAACTTCTTTTGGTGATAAGCAGTGCAAGAGCAAATAAAAGGAGGGTAAAATTTGGTTCCTGCTACAAAGTGTCAGTATAACAGTTCAATAGCAAATGTTTAAATAGGCTTAGAGGATTATTTTTAAAAGAAAAAAAGTTAATGGTTAAATTTTACACAACAAATATTTTATATGCTGGCCAAGTACCACAAGGGCCATTTTAAAATGATTGAATATGTTTTATATTTAACCAGGAAATGGTTTAGTAATGAGACTTAACATAAATGAAGCTTTATACTGTCACCGATAGTAGTGTAGCAATCCTTAATTTGTTTAAGTTGTATAAATGTACATTTTTAATTGGAGTTGCACTTACTGTATTATACCTGCAAATGCAGCCAAATGCCATTGTGTAACCAATGTGCATTTCCTGCTGTATGTATGAAAATTGTACAGCTGTGATATTAAGAAATAAATGAAACAACTTTGACAGTTTGCTTCTTTAGCAATCATGTTTAATGATCATTCATATATTTAAAAAAAAATAAAATTGTCTTTAACCTCAGCAGTTCCAGCAAGCTCTTGCTAGGAAGCCTGAAACTGTTGTAGTGGTAACCAAATTACAGTTCTGATAGTGAATCTTTATAGACTTTATGACCGGCGAGGTCGTGGGAGAGCCAAAATAGCATTTAACTTTCCATCCAAATATACTTTTTTTGTGCTTGCAGTTGCTCCCAGACCCAGACATTTATCTAAAAATCGATAGTATAGAGCTGGTCTTGTTCAGTTGTTTTCATGCTTTTACACTATGGATATAAATTATTCCACGTTTGCTATCAGCAGAGAGATCTTTTGTGTTACAGCATTTTCAGAGTATTGTTGCAGCCGTTCCAGGGCAGGCATTTTTATTCTTCATGGTCACCTTGTGTAAAAATGCGTTGGCTACGACCGAGGGGCTATGCGTTAGATCACGTATCCACATCCACTGTTGCTTACCTTAGTAGCGAAGCTTGGTCGGACTGTTTCCTTCACCTGTGTGGCTTGAGGGGCTGATGTTCCATCTGAGCCGACTTAATCTCCTCGTTCCTCTGTGGGCCTTCACAGCAAGTGAGAAGGGGATGGGACCAGCAGTAGGAAGGCTGTGGAAGCGACAGTTGTGAGGTCTGGTGGGTCAGACGAGAGGCTTGTAAGAATATGGGAGGCAGAGGTTGGGGTTTTTTTGAAACACAGAAGTCTCTTAAAATTTGTAATTGTGTTGTTTCGCTTCCTGGACAGTGAAACCATACCACTGAAGTGATGCTGCTTTTTCCCCCGTTATATTCCAGCAGGTCTCTCTTTTGGAAGTAGGGAACACAAGGGTTTGGATACAGTTGAACATGAGGCAATTGAAGGGGCTCAGTGCCCCAAGATGTGCAGTGTCACCTTGCATGGACATTCCCTGCCAGACAGACATACAGTGGCAAGTAGAAGTCCTGTTTTACATCTAAATAGGTACACTAAGTGTGTGTGCGTGTGCGTTTGTGTTTCCAGTAGCTGCAGACTGCCACACTGAGCTGTCTTTGCCTTGGGCAAATGACCACTCCAAATCCTGTCTCCTGCTCCTGAGGTGGTTTAGGGTTGGTGTATGATTACTCTCTTACCCTTCTCTTTTCTCTCTAAAGCCTTCTGTTTTTTCCATTCTCCCTACACACTTAACCAGTCTTTCCTGCTACTCCCTCTCTCCACTTGCTGTTGTGGATAATCCCGATGTTTCTGGTCTTTCCTGCCTCAGCCGTTCTGTTGTCCTCCCACCAGCCTACGCTGAGAACATCCATACTTAGCATGATTGTATTAGTGAAGCCCCAGTGAAACTTTATATAGGAACTAGTGCAGACACAGTTTCAAACCGAGCCTTTTTCATGAAGTGTCTGCATTGAGTTCTGCAGGGCATTTGAATGTGAAAAGCCAGAAGAAAATAACAAAGGTGCAAAAGAGTATGGTAAGAAAGTTTAGCTAAGATGGATCGGTAGAGCAATATTTATACTGCCCTTAAATGACTATATTTCCAGCTACTGAAGGCTGGCTGTAGTCTCCTGTATTTCAGTCTTTTGCAAAAGACAGCTGCTGATCTGCGAAGCAGCTTGGAGATACTTCCCTTCCCACATTTTTCCAAGACTTGTGTTACCATCCCAACTCGCCCTGTTACAGACTGCAGCGTTGTTCTGCTGCTTGGCCCCAAGGGCTGACTGGGCCGGCGGGGTACTGTTTGACAGGTTTGGTTTCAGTCGATGGGCACAATTAATTACTTGAGTTAGATGCGAGGGACTCTGCTGTGGCACTAAGCTCTTTGTTGATGGAACTGAAGCCATCTCATGTTATACTGACACACTGCCAAGTGCTGTGTACTGTGCAAACTTTGTTCAGGCTTTGGTATCTTGTCTCAAAATGCTGTCTTTACAAAATGTCTTTACAAATCCTCCTTTCTTAGTTATTCAGAGTACATTTAATGGTCACGAGAAACTGCCATCCTTTGAGCCAATTTTTGTTATTTCTGCATGACAGATCAGCGATTTTGCAAGATACCTTATACTGCCCAGCAGTGTGACAGTGCTGTCATCTGGGGAGATCACCTGCGGGATTGAGAAAACATCTGAATCTCTCAGTGACCCTTTCCCTCTGAGGCTGCCAACAAAAGGCTGGAGTGGGAGGAAGGCTCTTCTAGGAGCTGAGCTAAGGCTTCTGACTCGTTTCCCCCAGGCCTGTGAGCAGTATATAAAAATCAGCAGGTGTTTGTTGAGGAGTTTTCACAAACTTCTTAAACTTCTCACTGAAAGCATTCCAACGGCTGTGACCACTGCTGATCTGGGATAGGTGTCACAGGTAAGTCCATGTTGTGCTGCTGATGATAACGTCCTTCCGACTACTGAAGAGCACCGTTTAAACGCTCATGTCAAGGGAGATGGCAGCAGACCTTACATCTGGGTTGTGCCTGTCCTCAGGTGGCAGATTTGTTCTGCAGTAGGGCAGCTGGCAGTGAAGACCTGGTGCTGAAGGCACAAGTCGGTACGTAAAAGTGGCAATAGGGAATCCTTTGGGTGCTGCGTCAGATCCAATTGCAAAATGTTCCCAGCGGGACAGAGAGAGAGAACCACGGTAAGCCTGAAACAGCAGAGCATCAGTTTCAACCATTATGTCACCTGAAAGCATCCCAATTAAGCAGAAGTACTGTCTCCATTAAGCAGCAGCAATCCTGGTCGTGCGTATCATTAGGTTTAAATAGGTTTCTTACTAATTAAGAGCAGTTGCTGATTAACTGTGTCCTAATTCTGTGGAGCTTGCAGAATAAATACAATTGAATCGGACTGCTCCACTGGTCTCATTTTTTGGTAGGGTATTTTTAGTTAATCCTTTAAATAATAATAAAAATGAAAGACCGAAACAAAATATTGTAAACTGTTTCACAGAATATAATACAAAAAAAGTTCTCTGTAGCAGAAATGCTTTAAAACAAATGTGAATATCCTTGGGATGCATTCTCTTGCTTTAGTCAGGCTTATCATCCTCATGGCCTATTTGATCTCTGTACTTTAAAAACCCCCCATGTGCTAGCCATAGCTCAAAAGAGCTGATAATTTCTTGCTTCCAAGTATCAGAAGTAGTGCGAGCATTCAATGTAAAAAAATAATCAAGCTAATAATGCTTCACGTATTCTTTCTTCCCCAGATATTACTGAAATCCCAAATGTAACAGGTAGGAGGAATGACACAGTGAGGAAGAGCACCAGAGAAAACAAAATATGTATAGGAAGTGCTGAGACACAGCATTAAGGTTTCCTCCTGAGTTCAGGATGCCCAGATTACTTTTCCCAGTAGGCATTTACTGTTGTTGGTAGGCAAAAAAAGCTAAGGTACCTCTGTCCCCTCTCATGGTGGGGGAGCTGTGGTAACGGCCAGGACAGGAGCATGGAGGGCTGGTGGCTCTCCCCAGTCGTGGGCTTCTGGCTGGCGGCGTGTGAAGCTTGATTACCAAGTTAAATTGATCCTTCAGTTCGCTTTATAAACAGCTTCGCCAACAGTGGTTACCATCCCTCACCCCAGCATGTGTTACTGGCCCCTCTGCAGGACATCACCACTCCTGCAGCTCTTCTGGAAGAAGACAAACGGTACTTGATATCAAACTCTTAAAAACAGGCACCAGCATTTAAATTTCTAGTCTTCCTTGAGAAGTGTAAATAAACATTGTGGCTTAATATCCTTGAGAAGGATTGCTGGCTTTGCTGTCCTCTCCAAAATACCTTGGTAGTTCAGCTAACTGTTTTTAAAGACTTTCCGTACATCTAGCATAAGGTCATGAATTCTCAGATGCTGTGGTAATGAAGAGTGTGGAAGTAATCCCGGTCAGATGGTTGGGTGCTTTGTAGCAGGCAAAATTCCTTTCAGTTGCTGGGTGAAGAATTTAACTTCCATCCAAATTTTAGCTAACTAGTGAAGCAGGGAGCAATAAATGTGTCTGAAATGGCAGAATTCCTTGCAGTACGGTAATTCGACTTTATATACAACTGTGCTGTATGCACCATGTGCCTGTGCACTGAGTCTATCCCCAAAAAAAGTTTCAAGGCAATTCCTCCGATTGCTTATCAATAGTAGTCCTATGGATATTGACAGTAACGTTTGTTTTTAAGCTGCTTTAAGTTGTTACTTTTATTTTCAATAGCTTGCTTTAATCAGCCTTCCTACATGGCTGTTGGCTGAGACCGAGGGCTGGAAGAGACTGTGGGAGCTGCAGAAGATGCAGGCAGGACGTGACTTCATGCTTCTGCTACGTCACTTGTCCATGCAGGCGCTGGCTGAACTGAGCCTGAACTTCTGCTTCTGCTTCATGCTTTGGGGAAAGGGTCATGATGCAAAGAAAATGGAGTGATCTCTTGCTTTGGGCTTGCTGCCCTAAGAGATTAACGTATCTGGGGCTGGTAACTCAACATCATAAATATAGGTGTATATATATATATATATACTTAAAGTAAACTTGGATCTTTTAAGTGAGTCTTGTAAAACTTGGGCAAGAAAGACAGATAGAGTCACCTTTATACTCTCACTTTATGAGAGAATTAGAGCAATTTAAATGACTGTTGTCCCCTTGGTGTTATACGTCCTGAACTCCCTCATCATACAATGCACTTCACTAGTTGGATTTTTTTTTCCCCAAATAAATCAAACTTGCAAAAGAAAGGTTTTTAGTGATAAGGATGAGAAACCCAAGTGAATTGTGCATAAATTATTTACCTGCATACAGAAAGGAACATTTTGCTATGTTAATTAAAAGATATGTGTCAAGGGACTTTTCTTTCTGCCAGCCTCCTCTCTCCTTGAGATTTGCATGGTTTCATCTGAAATAAAATGCTCCATTCTCATAATAGCTTCTTCAGTCTTAAAACTTTGTGAACAGGTAATTTATTGAGAGCAGTATCAGTAAAAGATGATTGTTAGATGCGTGTTCCACA